CCGTGGACGGGCCGGGTGTGCTGGCCGCAGAGGCTTTCTACAGAGGAGTCACCAAAGTAAGCTCGGTGCTGGCCTCAGGGACCTTGCCAGCAAGAGAACTCTCTGCTTATTCCCCCTCTGCCACCCTCCCGGCAGGGACGCGGTGGCCTTGGCTCCATCTTCATTTGGGCCTCCGGCAATGGTGGGACCAACTACGACAACTGCAACTGTGATGGATACGCCAACAGCATCTACACCTTGTCGGTGGGCAGCGTTCTGGCAGATGGCCAGAGGCCCTGGTATGGCGAGAGCTGCTCCGCCATCCTCACCGCCACCTACAGCAGCAGGACCATGAGCGAGGTGCAGATCGTAAGTGCTGTGACAGCTCTGCTGGGACAGTGACCCACGGGCAGGCACTGGTTCCCAGCACGGAGCGGTCTCATCTGGGCCCTCCTTACCTGGGGAAGAAGGGGGAGCTTTCTTTAAGTGTCTGTGTTAGTCCCCAAAAAGCACGAAGGGGCCTGGAGGGAGCATTTACTGAAGTTACCGAATTCCATCCAGCCCTGCGTTCTGCTCCAAAAGCAGGCAGTGGTGCCGAGACCCCCACTCTCCCCGCCAGGTGACCACCGACCTGCACCACCGCTGCACCGACAAGCACACGGGCACCTCCGCCGGGAATCATCGCCCTCGCGCTGGAGGCCAAGTAGGTGACACCACAACAGCAGGACAGTCCCCAGGAGAGCCTGGTGCCTCACCAGGACCCTGCTGGGACAAGGAAAGGGAACTTTGCTGGCCGGCGAGGGTGGGGCGTCCAGAGCTGAGGTCTCCCCAGGCTCTGGTGGGCCAGCCTCTGCCCCCAGGACACTGTTGGAGAGCAGCCAGAGGCAGGAGGAGAGTTGTCCTCTGGAGGTCTCTGTTGCTCTCGTTTCGGCAGGGAAGGATGTTGTGTGTGGGGAATCAGCCACGCTAGAAAAGCAAAGCCAAAACTCACCCTCTAAAGCTAACCCTAAGCAGAGACTTCTGTCCCCAAGTCCTCCTTGCTTCCAGCCCGGCACTGACCTGGCGGGACGTGCAGCATCTGGTCGTCAGGAGCTCCAAACCCGCTCACCTGCAGGCAGAAGACTGGGCTGTGAACGGGGTTGGACGCAAAGGTGGGTTCAGGGCTCAGCTCCCACTTCCCTCCCCTGGCTGCGGGGGGACGTCTTGCCCCTCAGAAATCCTACCAGCAGAGGCGGGGGACCGGCGCAGCCCCGCCACTGGGCACACTCTCAGTGCAGAGGGACTCACGTGTCCTCTCCTGGGTGGCATCTGCTTTTCAGTGAGCCACCACTACGGCTACGGGCTCCTGGACGCTGGGCTGATGGTGGAGATGGCCAAGGGGTGGGCGAGAACGCACCCTCAGCGGAGGTGTTCAGTCAAGGCTCTTCATGCCCCCCGGTAAGAGATGATACCCCTGGATCTGACCGTAGGGGAGCTCACCCAGGGACTTTCTTGTAGCAAAGTCGTGCTGTGCCCGTTGCAAGAACACACGTCTCTTCCTCAAAAAGCAATCTGTGGTGCACGGCTTCTGCTTAGAGGTTGTGGTGGAAGGCAGGACGCCCGTGAAAGGGCAAGAGACGCCCTTACCAGAGGTCTTGTGCTTGGTAGGAACATCGGCTCCGTGCTCACCATTTCTACAGACGTCTCCTCCTGCTCAGAGAGGACCAAGCTCATCCGCTCGCTGGAGCATGTCCAGGTCCAGCTCTCCCTGAGCTACAGCCGCAGAGGGGACCTGGTGATCGCTCTGACCAGCCCTGCGGGGACCACGTCCACGCTGGTGACCCTGCGGTAAGGGCGCTCCGCGAGCTCACAGGGACCACGTGACAACAAGATTTAAACAGCTGCTGAGGGGCAGAGGGGGCTCCTCCTTGCACCCTCTCCTGGGGCCACGAGACTCTCCCCCACACTGAAGTGGCCCCTGGAGGGAACAGGACTCACCGTGCCCAAAACTTCTCCAACACCCGCCCCACATTTTGGCAATGCCCCGTCAGACCAAGAACAAGGCGACTCCAGTGTGTCCTTGGT